GAAAAAATACAGTGCTTACATATTGTAAAATGTATAGTTTTGTGAATTGTTTTAGATGAATACATGCTTATCTTTCATAAGTAAAGAGAATAACATTTTAAGCGAAGAAGTTACAGTTTACAAGGGACACCCATACTTTTCTTTATCGTGAGAATTTTGTAATTCTGTCTGAAAATGGTCTGTATCTTATTTTCTTAGGATATAAAAGTTTTGAGGCAGATCACCATGTCTGAAGTTTTGTAAAATATCTTCTGAATACAACCTCATAACTTACGCTTTCTTTTTCCAGGCCCCAGTACATTTTCAGCCAACTGTGATACACAGTGGTGCTGTCTTAAAACAGATTAACTTCATTTACAAAATCCTAGTTTACTTGATTGCATGATAATTTCTCATTCTCTGCCATCCCTCTAGTATTTCAGAAGCAAACCATACTGAATGCATATTCTCAACTTAAATTAAACAAAGGAAAACAACATAAAAAATTAAAAGAGAAAAAAGAACCCTCAATAGTAGCTACTGGAATCACAAGCAGTCTGGAAAGCAATGTCCTGCTCCCTGCTAGCAAGCCTTGTGAATTACAACCTTAAAGAGACAACAACCTTAAGGTGTTAAGACAACATCAAGCCCAATGACAAAAAGTGAAATTAGGAGGAGTCATGATTTTCCTCTGAAAAATTATCAAATGACCTTTTTTTTTAGTAAAAATGTTTTTTTTTAAAAAACTGAAAACCAAAGGTCGTTTGAAAATTTCTAAAATGTACAAAAAATGAAACCAATGCAATGTAAAATGTAAGCCTAAAATGAATATACAATACTCCAATTTTAGTTTGATAAACTTAATGGAACAGGTACAGTTGTTAGGATAAATATAATTTACTGATAATGACAAAAGGATAAACATGAGGTATATTAGCTAGAAAAGAAACAGTGTTTTCAAAAATGGGACTTGATTTCTCATTTAATGAAAAGCTGGATGGATGGGTAACTGCCGTGCTGATTCAACTTTTCAGTCCAGATTTTCATCTATTTCTGCATCTACACATTGGCCTTTCATCCACATGGTTGTTACTTTGTAATAGCCTCTGGGGCTCCACACATCAAATCTGATCTCAAGAAAAGGAAAAGAGCTTGTGCTAGTGTGAGTGCACACCATATCTTTCTCTTAGAGACTCTTCAGGAGAATTCTCTTTATATTTTATTGTTAAACATGAAACATGTAGGCTTTCCTAGTACCAAGACAAACTAATTAACCAAATATATGGCAGGTGTGAAAAGTCATTGCTGGGGATAGAATGTTTATATATCTAAATGCATTAGCTTTTCCCCACAGAGGAAAAATGAGGTCATTGTTAAGGAGACAATAAAACATGTACTTTTAAAAAACACGGCACAAAGTAACAAACCATTGACTAAACACATTTGATTTAGAAGGCAGCACCCATAGAATAGACTATTTAGAAAAATCTCTATGAGAAGTAGTAGAAACTTATCAACAACAATTAATGCACCATGGGAATCTGTTGTACTCTAAAAAGACTCAATCAAGAGCACTGCGATTTGATAATGGGAAAGATAGTGATATAACAAAAGTGATACAGATAGTATTCCTGTTAGATGACATTGGTAATGACAGCACAAATGAAGACACTTACTAAGAGGATTTCCAGAACTGCTTCAGAAGGTGGCAAGAATGTTGGGCTAAGAGTACAAAATAGAGAATATTTTGAGGGAGATTCTAGCAGCATGACATTTACAATACATTAAAAAAAAAAAAAAAAAAAAAAAAAAAAAAAAAAAAAAAACTAAAGTTTCATAGCTGGCAAGGTGGCGCATTCCTGTAATCTCAGCACTCGAGAGACTAAGGCAGGAAGATTGCTGCAAGTTTGAGGCCAGCCTGGGCTACACAGCGAGTTCAAGATCAGTTTGAACAGATGGGGAACTTCATCACAAAACAACAGCAACAACACAAATTTAAACATCCACCGTATTTGCCAATCACAGTCTACATTCAGGAATACTAAGTTTTCTAGATCAACTTATTATCTTTTCCAAATAGCTACAAGATTCTTCAAGCTTTATTTTCTGCATGTTTTAAAGAAAGTCAGTTCTTTAATCTTAGCTTAAGAGTGATTATCTTTGATATAAATAGCAGATTAAACTTTCTGTTAGAAAGTGTGTTATATTGATAATGACAAAATGAGAAAAATGAAGCTTAATTATTTATTGAATGTTTACTGCTAATTTTATTATAACCTGTAAGAACTTTCTAGGCTCCACCAAACTATCAAACTCACACACTACTAAAAGCTATGCTTGCTAGCAAATTAAATTAGAGTATCAGCATCATTTTTTTTTGTAAGGTAGTGTTATAGGTAGCTGAGTTAGATAAAAATATTATAGGCAGTCAACAGGGCTAGACCCCTGCAGGAGTCAGTGCATAAGGCCAGACACCTTGCAACCTTGGAGGGGACATCTTCTGCTGTAGGTCAGACCTCAAGACAAAAGATCAAGCAAATACACCCACATCCTAAGAATTGATATACTAAATAGTTTTCTGTCATCCAGAGGAAGCCAGGAGTCACTGTGCCAGCCCCCTACAGGAGAAGTCACTGCTCTCTGTGCATGTCCTCTTGCTACCTGATTCACCTCCCCATTTGTCCATACTGTGGTCAGTTCTAACTCAACACTTAATCTTGCTGGTTGATAGCCCACTCGCCTTATGAGTTCCCATTTTCTCCATCTTAGACGGGCCTCACTTTGTGATTTTACTCTATAAAAGTCCCTTAAAAAGACAAGAGTCATTGGCAACCCACTCAAGAACCCTGCTCTCTGTCTCTCTCTGTCTCTCTCTCTCTCTCTCTGTCTCTCTCTCTTAGTCTCTCTCTCTCTCTCTCTCTCTCTCTCTCTCTCTCTCTCTCAGAAGCTTCCTTTCTTTCAATAAATTTGCTCTGCTCTTAAGGACTCCATTGCCCCTAAAATTCATTCTTTGATTTTAGAGAACACAAACTTGTACTAGACATATAGTAGGTTGCGAGTTTATTTCCCCTATATTAGTAGAATCCAGAAGCAGTCATTGGATCAAATTCTATTATTTAAAATCATAAACAAGCAAAGGGGACATGAGATTTACACAAGGGTACACAGTGTTTTCACTTGGAATCCTCAGACCTTCTAAAAGACAATATATTTTATAACAGTTTCACTGGCTTCCCTGCAAAATATATGATAAATTGCAAAAGGAAATGAAGCTATGATTTTTCACTAGGAATTTATAATTCACTATTGCTCCACCTTTCTCAATCACAATTAATGAGTATCATATGTAATACTGCTTAGTAAGATTGATCAGATTTCTAAGGGTCAGAACTAGGAAGTCAACTGTTCTTAAATTTATGCATAGAGAGAAGCATGTTAAACTTTTGTTCACATATACATTACTTACTTAATACCTGTAAGTATATTAAATTATTTTCATTACAAAATGTAGAAACTAAGGGAGAAGTAAAACTCTCAGGTTCTGGCCATATAATTTGTTAGTAGTAAGTCAGGCTGAAATTGAGATTTTTGGCTTTAGGGTCCAAATCCTTAACCATGAAATCCATACCTTTTATAACTGTGATAGGAGAAAAGAATGTAATGAAAAGTAAGTCCCATTCAGAGAAGCTTCTACATCTATTTAGAAATTTTATAAAAATAAGACAATTTACATATTGCTTTTATGTCAGATTCTTTTTGCTTGTTTTATTTTGGACGTTAGAAAACATAAAACGATTATTGTTCAAGTAGTTTTCTTTGATGGAAACCATTTCCGCCATCTTCAGCCTGGCTCAAGATAGGTAGATGTGCACTGAATAACACTCTGTATTTATTGAAATTTGTTCAATTGCATATTCATTTATTTTATTATTTCAAATATCCCACATCTGAGTAGCCACTAGACTTGGTGTCTCATGTGCAGAAATTTGGGTAAATGAGTCTAGACACTAGATGTAAAAGTGTCTTTAAGCAATTCAAGTAACTTTATGAAACCCAAGGAAACTTGACAGAATATCTACAATTTAGGCTACAAGTCTAAATCATCCCACTCGTTGCACAGATACCATGGTTTTGTCTCTGGTGATCAAGTCTTCTCTCTTATTGAAGCAATTTCTGTTCATCTGGTCCTTTATCAAAATTACAATATTTCGTGATTCATGTGATCTAGGAATCAACTACTTGAAAAAAGCTGGTTACAGTACTGAAAAAAAATGAACATAAAAGTTTGTAACACATTTACCAACACCTAATAACACCCATTATATCAAACAATTTCATACCCATCTGAGATACATGAAATAATGAACAGGAAACTGAGTCATATTCAGTGTTGCAAATATGACTACTTATCAACCTTTCATCTCTCTTATTTTGACTTTTAATGAGATCTTTTATGAGATCTGCAAAGGAAAAGTTACTTGTTATGTGACATGAATTTATTATTGGGATATAATCTGCATTTGGATTATAGTATGCATTTTTAAAATTTCTCAAATATATGGAATTCGAGAATATGAATGTTTGAAATTGTTACATCAAAGCTTTATCAGTTGGTCTTGACATTTCCAAAGTATGTTGATTTCTTTTTCTCAGATTTTTCTCATTAAACATGACTCTAGTGTGAAGTAGAGATTCTCAAACTGTGAAACAAGAGTCTCTAAGAAGTTTCAAAAGTTTTCTTGGCAGTTACTGCTCAAACATACTTGATCAAGTTTTTAACTATTTTGTGGTACTCTTCATATTAACAAACCCAAATGTAATCACAGAGTCCAATCTTAGTTTGGAAACCCTGGGTCAAGTCAATGTTTGATAAACTTTCATTTATGTCAGGAAATTCCTAGACTGGATTTAGAAAATCTGAGGATTATTTGATATTCATGTTTTCTTAAACCCATTTTATGATTTCTGTCTGAGTCCCTGCTGCCTCTATTATTTTGCCCTCTGCCTGCACCTGATGTCCATCAGTCTGGGGCATCCCTAGGGCAGTGGCATCTGTCCATCACTGTCTTCCTGAAGGCGTCCTTCACTTCCTTGTTTCTCAGACAGTAGATGGCTGGGTTGAGGAATGGCACAATAACCGTATAAAGCACAGAGATGATTTTATTGTGGTTGAAGGTATACATGGCCCGGGGTCGTGCATAGGTAAAAAGAGTAGAGGAGTAATAGATAATAACCACTGCCAGGTGAGAAGTACAAGTGGAGAAGGCTTTGTGGCGCCCCTGGACAGTGGGGATCTTCCAAATGGCTACAATAATGGCAGCATACGATGACACCACAGCAAGGAGAGGGAGCAGAATCATCACCAGAGCCAAGAGGAAGTCCACCAGCTCTGCTTGCTCCTTGTCAGAGCAGGTGAGGTTGAGGAGAGGAGAGATATCACAGAAAAAGTGGTTTATGATATTGGGTCCACAATAGGACAGTCGGGAAATGAAAAGAAGCTTCATCATCGAGCTGAAGAAGCCACTGCCCCAAGAGGCAGCTGCGAGGCAAGTGGCCAGGCTGGGAGGCATGAAACTAGGATAATGGAGGGGTTCACAGATGGCCAGGTAGCGATCATAAGCCATGACTGCTAAGAGGACACATTCTGTGCAGGCTAAAGCAATGAAGAAATAGAGTTGGGCCATGCAGCCCATGTAGGAGACTCTACCATCTTGTGTGAGGAAAGCTCCCAACAGGCGGGGGACTGTAACATTGATGTAGCACAGTTCCAGGAAGGAGAGATGGGCAAGGAAGAAGTACATAGGGCGATGAAGGCTTGGAGTGAGCCAGATGGTAGAGATGATGAGCGCATTCTCCAAGAGTGTCAGCAGATAGACTGCAAGAAATACGACAAAGAGCAGCAGCTGGAGAAGTGGGGAAGTGGAGAAACCCACCAAGACGAACTCCTCAATGCGAGCTCCACTTGAATTTTTCATGGTCTCTCTCCACATCAGTGCCTGAAAAGCTGACAGGAAGAAAACATGGTGAAAGGTATACAAAACTACCTATATCCTTTTGGAGGATATGAATCCTGAAGACAGCAAGCAGTACAGTGCATTATCAATCATTGTAATATTATTTTTCTTTCAAGTTGCTGATTTATCTCCCATTTCAAAGAAGGCATTCTCAAACTCAAGGACTGCATGCAATAACAAAACCTTAAGTACTTCAGGTATTTTATGAATGTTTACAGAGTGATCTCAGAACTGACATAGTGCTCTGATTCTAATATTTTTTTTTTAGTTTTTTGTTCATTTGTTTGCTTGAATCAATGATACTTTCTTCCTTCACTTATCATGGGAATACTGGCATACTCCTAAGTTCTGTAGGACTTTTACTAAATATTCATTCAGTGAAAGAATGAGAGAAATTAAGTAAGTAAAAAAGAAGGAAGGAAGGAAAAAGTGAAAATAAGTTGGAGCCTAAGAATTTACTTATCAAGGGAAATAAACTAAGGAAGTACCTCAGATAGATTGCTTTTGACATGATACAAGGCAGTGTAGCAGGAAGAAGTCTGGTTTGGAAAGAATTCATTCACAGTTTAAGAAACACTTTAATATAGACTTGATAAGGAAGCTGCCTCATGGACAGAGTGATTTTTCCATGCATTTAAAAAATATATTTCAATAGGTTGCTTGTACCAAAATTAGACTGTTTCAAGAGATTTTGTGTTAGGTTAAAAAAGATAGTTCCGTCCTGAGCCCATCTCTCCTAGTCCCAGCTAATTGGGATACTGAGGAAGGAGGATGCCTTGAGTCCAGGAATTTGAGGCTAGATTTCAAAACATAGTGAATCAGTCTCAAAACAACAAAACAAAAAGTCTTCCCCAAAAGGAATGCATTGTGTTTTATTTTTCTTGGAACCTATAAATGTTACAAACGCTTCACAAAGACTTCAAAAGTATGACTCAAAAATTTGAGATGAGGACAGCATCCTGGATTACCTAGGTTTAAGTGTAATCAGCGAAGTCCTCAAAAGAGGCAGACAGAGATTTGAAATAATGTCAATTTGAAGATGTCTAGCCACAAAATAAATCTAGCCACAAAATAAAGTATGCATACAACTGAGAGAATCTGAAGCGGCAAGGAAACAATTATATCTGTGAGCTTCCAGAAAGTAGTCTTCTGCCAAAACTTTCAATTACTCTACATGATACTGATTTCAGACCTCTGGCTTGTGAGACTGTGACAGAGTAAATTTCTGTCCTTGTAAGGTGAGGTGCTAAATTTGTGGTAATTTGTTACAGCAACTACAGGAAACTGACAAGCCTGCAAAATAGAAGAAATGATCTTCACACTCACTTCATACTTGTTATGTCCATCAGATGTCTTATCAGCATCACCACAGAGGCAACAACTCTAGAGATCTGGTAAATTCTAAGCCTGAATTGAGGTACACTCGTGGTTCAATATTATTAAGCATTTCTGTTTATGGTGGGATTTAAGCATTTTGTGATTTTTTCCCCTTTAAGATTTTTTTAAAAATTGCATAGCAATTCAATAACTATTTTTAATCAGACATTTATATAAGTTAAAAATTTTAGTGTCACTGCATCAAAAGTACTGACCTTTTAATAAAGTTATTATGTCTCTTTTGCATATGTTCAACAGACCTTAATACGAATTTCAAAAAGTTACACAATTGAGTGTGCCTTTGGAAGATGGAGATCTTCACATCATTTATTTCACTGAATTAAAAATTCATGGTATTTTAATATATTTTTGTAACTGTGAGTCTTTTATGGATTTCTCTATTTCCATCTATGTGGTTTGTTTTGTATATTCCCAAGATTTTGTATTTTATAATAGATTTTCCTCTAGATATTATATAATTGCCATACATTTAGCCTAAACAAAATAAATGTATAACAAACTTTGAGAAAACCTATTATACACAATAATAAAAATGTATTAGACAGCTATTTCTAATAATATAAACTATACTTTTTGTCAATTCCTAATTACACTCATGCCTCCTTATTATCACAGATGAGAAAGATTTTAGCATCAATTCCATTCTTGGTTTTCATTTTGACATATAAAACACTGAGAAAACTAGTTTCTATAAGCAAGTGATATTGACGGACCTTAGTTCCAAAATGAAAGTTGTTTTGCTAAAGTAATAACACTGAACTATTTGATATTTTATTAGTTTTTGCAGAAATGACCCAGGAGTCTATCATCAAAATGATTTTTATTGATCAAGTAGCTGACAACTTGCTGAGCTATTTCAGCTGTGCTGAAAGAAGCAGTTTAGAAATCAGTCCTCCAAAAGTCTACGCTGCCCTGTTACCTGCATGTCACTGTTCTAGCCCTGACACTGGCAGGCTGAGGAACCTTCAAATGCTTAAGACTCACTGAAACTTTTCTGTGTAAACAGGGAGAAGAAAAGGGAAGCAGCAAAGGAAAGGGCACTTTCTCCACCAGAGCTGTTTTAAGAACTCATGAGGGAGTCAAAGATCAGGGAGGTTTTCCTTTGGAACGATTCTTACTCGGACCTAGGAAAAAAATGTTAACTACAAGTGCTCATAAAACCCAGGTTGGGAAACGATGACTCAGTGTATCAGATACTTCCCTGAGAAAGTTTGGAGGGGATGTATGGGTGGTGGTGGGTGGGTCCCGAAGGTGTACTTGCAACAGAATAAGAGAAAAACTCAAAAATGAGGCTGGAAACTTTCAAGAGCCAATTTAAGGGAATTCAGAGGCAGCAAAAGACTGAGCAAGGACAGAAACTCTGCAAAAGTACTCAATACCTATTGGTCTTCTCAAGGACACTGATGATGTTATGCAACTCATTATTTACTTCCTTTGACTATTGTTCCCTTATACTATCAATTCCCCTCAAATGCACAGTTCATCCCACGACTTATCCTTCCTGTCATGTCAGAGTTCTTCCAGATGCTAGCTCTGGTCTTTTTGCACTTGAATAAGCAGAATAAACATGAATCTCTCCAGTGGGCCCCTTACATCTGCTGGTGTGGTAATGCTCAGGAAGCAGCACAAACCATACAGATGCCCAGCAGGCTGGGTAAGCATAGCCCTATACTTAGGTGTATCCCATTTCAGAGAAAATTGTGCTTTGCATTTTTCTTTTGTTTCCTTAAATGATTCATTTTGTCATCACAATTTAAAGATTGTGATCCATTAAAGATTTCAATGCAGAAGCAAAATCTTGGTGAATCAACAGCTGAAGACAATCTAGAGTTCCCATGATGACTTTCTTAGTGTTTATAAGAAATATAAAGGAGACCCCATAAAATGTTTTTTCTAGGTGTTGGGTACAGACTGCTTTTCCTTATGCGGACTTAATCCTCATAACAGCCCAATGTGTTTAAGCACTTATATCTCTGTTCACAGATGAAATAAAAAATGAGTGATTTTTCCTGATCGTATATGTAAGTACTTATGGAGATGTGCTATAAATTAGACAAATTAGATAATTTGTCTATAAAAGTTGAGTGGCAATATTAACTATCCAAATATCCTCCATGGAAATAAATAGATATTCATTGATGTAGCAAGATGTGTTCACATACGTAAAAAAAATTATTTAATTGGTTTCTTTATATAGGGTAGTACAAGTGCATCAATCATGTTTAAAATCTCATTTCAATTTAGTCTTCAAAGATATGGTAATGATAGGTATAGCTTTGTGCTTGCCATGAGGGAAAGAGAATTTGTTATACCTTAAATATACCAGGTTTGGCTCCTGCCTTATTTACAATTGTCATGTGCTTTCTGGAACTCTTCTTCCCACAAATAACTATTTTCCCTGTCCAATATATTTACACATCTATAGAATTTTGCCACATTTTCATTTAAAAATATCCCTTATGATGTGCAAATCATAATGAGATAGAACTTGAATATAGTCAGAAGGGCTATTATTTTTAAAAAGCAAAAATAGTAAATACTGGAAAGAATGCAGAGCAATGGGGATTCTGTTCACTGCTGGTGGAAATGTAATTTAGTGCCATTATTCTAGAGAACATTTTGGAAGTTCCTTGCAAAACTGCAAATAGATCTGCCATGTGGTCCAGGCACCTCATTGTTAGGTAACTCTAAAAAAATTGAAATCAGCACATCGAAGTGATACCTGTACTCACGTTTATTGCAGCACTATTCACAGTAAGTACTATATGAAATCAGCTCAAGTGTCAACTGAAGGAAAATTGAAAAAAAAAAGTGTAGCTGTATACATCAGGTATCTGCATACATCATAAAGAATGAATGTCTGTTATTGGCAGCAACATAGATGGAACTGAAGGACACTAAGTTAAAGAGAATAAGTCAGACAGGGAATGACAATTACTACATAGTCTTTCTTACAGGTAGAAGCTAAAAAGGATGATCTCCAAGCAGAAGAGCAGAACAATGATTACTGGAGTCTTAGGAAGTATATGGGAAATGAAGGAGAGATGAAAGCTGAGTAACAGCTGCCTAAACACAGATAGAAATAATATAACCCAGTATTTGACCGAACAGTGGGTGGCTCTAGTTCACAACTCATCTGCAATTAAGAACTATAAAAGAAAGCTCAGAGTAACCAAGTGTGTAAAGAAATGAGATGAAACTGATAATTAATTTGATCCTTACACATTACATATATGTATCAAGTTAACACATTATAACCCATACATGTGCATAACTATTATATTCTTATTTTAAAAAACTGAGAGCATCCTGTGAATATTTCAAAAATATTTCCTAGGTACCACATACACAGTATTAAACTTATAGAATAATGATCAGTAGTAGGATACTGACAAGGACAGATTTGGATTATTAAGATTTTTCGAATGCAATCTCATTAAACATCTGGGAAAAGTAAGAGGATTTTCAACATTACTAAGGATCTGAAAGCCATAGGAAAGATGAAGGATCTGAGAGTATGCAGCCTGGGTAAGAACAAAATGTCCCACAGAGGTTCCTCTAGT